ATTTATTTATTCATATGGAACTGGGGTACAGGCCAGAGATGTGGAGGGTGAGAGGATTCACCAGAGACAGAGAGGGGAGCAGAACAGGCAGATCGATGAGGTACACTGCTGAGGGGAGCAGCGGGCGGGTCAGGAGAGGTCTGCCCCGCCATGTGGATCTCCTACGGGGCAGGGGGGAATCAAACTCATGCGGAAGTGGCTTTAGCTTCTCAGTGCTGTACTTTAACCTACTGCGCCACCAGGGAGGACCCCAAACTGCTTCTTATCATAGTTACAGGAAAGATTCATATTTTTTTGATGCTCAAATCAATTTAGTTTATTAAATTCATTAAAAACATGCCATGGGCCCTCCCTGGTGGCACAGTGGGTTAAAGCACAAAGCTGTGAAGCTGTCTGCAGCCACTGCAACGCAAGTTTGAGTCCCAGCCCAGGAGCTGACCCACATGGCATGGCAGACCTCTCCTGTCTCACCCGTGCTCCCCTCAGCAGTGTACTTTACTCAATCTGCCTGTACCCCACTCTCTCTGGTGGATTCTCTCACCTTCCCCTCAGCCCCCGTGCCTCTGGCCTATATCCCAGTCCTTGTGTGCATAAATGAATCTTAAAAAAATAAATACATGCCATGAAAAGCGAGGGGAAGGAGCTGGGCTAGGTGATCATGTTTCCTGCCAGCCAGCAGAAGGCCGGACATGTGTCCGGGTGCATGCTTCTGCCTTCACTCTTTGCTGTAAGGCCTCTTTGCTGTTAGCATGAGCTCTCCTTGCCTGTTTGCGTACTTGAAAAGGATTTGGAGGCCTTGGGATTCTCATGGAATCCAAAAGGGAGCCACAGCGAGGGGCTCAGTGGCCGCGAGGAGTGGGAGTTCTCAGTCATTCGTGCTTGCTCTTCCTTGAGCGGCCTTGCCCTAGCTTCTGCCAGTTTGCTTCCTGCCCACTGTTCTGCCAACTGGTGCCCTCATTGTTGCTCTTTCTGGCACTTCTCTGCCTACCTCACGGCTCCTGCTGCCTGGTTCCTGCTGCCGGTGGCCCTAACTGCATCACGGCCCTGCTGCACCACTGCTAAGGGTCTGTTTCTCTGCTTGTGGATCTTTCTGCTGCTTCTCTGCACCCGCAAGAATGAGCATTTGGCCTGTGTTCTTGCTAGAGAAGAGCTTTCTGTGCTAGGGCAGCCCAGAGTCAGCATTTGTGCGCACTTCCCTCCCCCCTTCCCCCCCCAGCACTCAGGCAGACCGGGCATGAGGTGGGCTGCAGAGCTACGGGCAGTGCCTGGGGCATGGTCAGGGCATTGGAGATTCGTTGGGGCAGTGAAACCTGATGGTGGGCTGGGCTTGGCAGGCTGGGGTCAGAGGAAGTGTGTTCTGGGAAGAAGACACAAATCTGAGCTCTGAGGAGTGAGCACGTGGGCAGCAGAAGCCTGTTGTGAGTGAGCGAGGGACGGCTGGGTGATGAGTGACCTGAAGCCAGTGGAAGAGGTGGACTTTTTTAAACAACAGGTCATCTTTATATGCTTTTCAGCAGAGGAATCCCTTTCTCCTTTCCATTCCCGACTCCTGCTGTCAGAATGGATTTGCCCTGCTTAGAGGCCGCTGACGTAGCTCTGCAGTAAGGTGACATGGGAGAGGAGGCAGAGTGAGCAGATGGTCACTCTGGAGAGCAAACATGGGCTGACGTCGGCAGCAGCAGCTGGCCACGGCAGCGTCATTTCCAGGCAGGAGGGTGTGTTCCGGGGGAGGAGACTGTCAATCCGGCAGGATTTTTGCTCGTTCGTTGGCAGGGCCGCGGTATGACAGCTTCCCTCCTGTGTCTTGCCGTTTCCTGAAGTGTCTCTGCCCACTGAATTGTTCACTCAAAAGCACCCCTGCTTGTCTCTCCTGCCCATGCCCAGTCTTTTAGATTCTTTTATTCCAGCCATATGTGTTGGTGCCCACCTGGAGGACAGTGCCCCTGTGAGCGAGTGCTGGTGCATTGTGATACAGTAGACAACCTGGTCCAGCACACGCTGGCGCCTCCATCATGTGCCTGAACCCTGGAACCAGGACAGACATCGGGGCTTTCAGAAAAGGCGGCTGGAGCATTTGATTTTGGAGTTTGGTGGGAGCATTTTGGAAAGTTGGGTGGTCCATCGGGTGCTCAGACTGACTTTGTATCTTCCTTGCTTGCCTTATTTATATAGTTTATTACCAGAATGATGAGAGGCTTCTGGGGGAAAAAATCCTGATAGATACAGCCTAATTAAAAGGTCCTGATTTGTAAGAACCTGACTTTGAACAGCAGATTTTGTTGTTGTTGTTTATTTTGGCATCATTTTGTGCCTTTTTCCATCTCAGTTGTCATCCCTGTGGGCTTCCCATCACCAAATCACCCATGTGCCATCACCATAGTCCAGTGCACTTCCCTCCCCCCACCGTTTTTGATCCCATTGCACCCCCATAAAACGTCTCTGGTAGATAGTTTGAACAGCAGATTTTTTAGTCAACTTGTTGACCACAGGTTGTTGAAGGATAGGGGCATATACCTTCTACTCTCTGGGCTTCAGTCCCCTTATCTGGAAACAGGATCATAATACCTGCTCAGCCTCCCTTTCAAAAGCTTTGAGTTGGGTATGTGTGTAAATTTCAAAGCACCCTGTGAATTTAAGGCATTTATTCAGATAGTGGCTTCTTGAAAATCGGTTTGGTTTCCATTTAGTACAATCCCACCTAGGATGCAAACTTCGAAGATGACATCTCAAGGTTACATCCAGTTCAAAGCTTCATGGTCTCCTTTTTCTTCTGAATATTGTTAGGAAAAAAGACAGGTGTTCTTGGAGAAAGATTACTTCCTGGGATGGCATGTGTTCGGGGTGCTGCTGGCAGGGGCAAGGGGTGAGGAATGTGTGTTGTCTTTTCTGGGGACAGTGAGCAGAGTGCCTTTCTGTGATTGGTTTCTTGCTAGTGTGTTCAGAAGCAGGCAACTTGTGGCTCAGTGACATTACTACCTCCGTTTCTTGCCTACTCCCTTTTTGTCCTAGAAGCTCACCCTCTGGTGTTCACCTCTTGGTTCCCTGAAGGTCATCCTTGGCAGGTAACACCACATCAGTCTTAGGATTGATGGGGGAATGGAACAGAACCTTGGTTTCCTCCTCCTAGAATCATCATCTTCGCTGCTTTCCCCAGGGTTTAGCAGAGCTTTGTTTTTTTCCTATTGTAGGTCTCTGCTTCCTCCTATCCTTACGTCCTCAAATTTGGCTTGCACGCCCCCTAGTGGCAGGTGTGATGCACCCCATTATCCTGTTTATTGTGGTGCCAAGACAGCTGTTCTCTCGCCTCCCAGTTATTAAGTAGTAACCTCAATTCACACGTGCGGATTGAGAGGTTCAGGGGTATTGCTTGCTAGGAAAAGGGGATGTGGGGTTTGAATTGGAGCTTTTGAATCCTAGATATATGTAATGGAAATACTTCAGAAAAAAGAGAAGTGGTAATAGCAGTTGTAGTTTTTCATGGTTTAAAAAGGATCCACTTTATCTTTCTGTTCCCCAAGAAGGTATTAAATAGCGTACTGATTACACATGATAGTGAAGGATACACAAGTTTCATCCCCATCTGTCACTTTATCTAGTATCACAAGGATTCAGATTTTAATGTGGACCCAGTTAATCTGAAAGGATCAAAATGTGGTGGGTAATTGAGGATAAGAGTGAACGTGTTTTCTTGCCCTTCCTTCATCAGACTGGAAAACCTTTCATCACTCACCAAGTGTTTGATAATTCACGCTCAACCTTGTTAGCAGCTCGGAGGAATACAAAAAAGTGTAAAACGTGATGTTTACCCTTCAAAAGTTTACCTTCTATTTAGGAGTCATTTATATTTATTCACTCGAGAAGTATATATGAGTGATAACTTTTATTGGTGTTTCACTAAAGACAGCTCACTAAAGATACTCTCTGAGCATTTTGCTTGCTTGTGCATTCATTCATTCATTCATTCATTCATTCATTCATTCATTCATTCATTCATTCATTCATTCTTTCATTCATTTATGTAGTCCTTTTCAGTGGATCGAGAACCACAAGATAACACCAATTACCCCGAGGAACCCTGGAGGATTACAGAAGAGCAGCGCGAATACTACGTCAATCAGTTCCGATCTCTGCAGCCAGACCCGAGTGCCTTCATTTCAGGTAACGAAGCCTGATGGCTGAGAATGCCGGGCCTGTATCAGCGTCTCACACAGACAGCAGTGCATGTCTTGGGAAATCGTTCACACAAAATGAATATGACAACCTTCTGTGATTTCAGTTTGTTTTCCTCTAAGATTGAATTTCTTGTCAACTGTAAACCATGCAGCACAAAACACTTCCAGTGACATTTGGAAAATTAGGTTTCTGTTTCGAAGGGGTTAAATGTGAACTTGGGGGAACCTGGTCCTAACTCTGCACCCTGTTAACTGGAGCAGTTCTTGAAATGATGGACTGTGGAACCACGGCGACGCCTTTAGCTGCTTACTCATTATGTTCAGTTAGTGCAAGGGCTTGCTGTTGCCTTCTAAAAGTTAGTGTCCCGGCCCTCCCTGGTGGCGCAGCGGGTTAAAGCACAGCACTGAGAATCTAAAGCCGCTTCCGCATGAATTCGATTCCCGCCTGCCCCGGAGGTGACCACATGGCTCGGCAGACCTCTCCTGACCTCTGCTCCCCTCAGCAGTGTACTTCGTAGATCTGCCTGTTCTGCTCCCCACTCTGCCTCTGGTGAAGCCTCTCGCTACCCTTGAACCTCTGGCCTGTACCCCAGTTCTGTATGCACAAGTAAATAAATCTTTAAAAAAAAAAAAAGTTAGTGTCCCTAGTGGCCTTATGTTATATCCACATTAGATGTTCAAATTCATGCTTGCTTTTTTTGGCTCAAATCTTTTGCCTTTGAGTTTTCTGAGATAAAATATGGGAGGAAAATTGGCCAGCATTTTTATGTCCACCTGTCAGTTCTTTTGAGTTGTCTTCAGAAATATGTGTTCCTGTTGAGTGCTCATATAAAATTCAAGCTGAGAGGAATTGATTTTATTCCTGTGTGCCTACATTTTATCGGACTGAAGACTAACCAAACAGTGAAATAGTAAAGTCTGGAAGAAAAAAATCTTAAAGCTTCTTATACTTCAAACTTGCAGAATAACAATATATCCAATATAGCTCTCTCTGTCTTACATAGTAAAGTGTGGACTCACACTACTTTTCTCTTGTGAAAAAAGGTGTGTATTGAATATAGTTGTATAAATGCAGACATTTTCTCATTAGTGGTAATAGCTTTATTGACCGAGACAGTTGTAGAGACAATAAATTAATGTTGATAATATGATTTAAAAGAATAAGCAGAAGCCCAGATGCACCTTGCCCCGTGCTCACTTTACTCTGTTTAAGCAGAGTGTCTTCACAGCTTCTCCAGGTGTTTTGCTAAATACTGACTGATAGTTGTTTGGAATGTCTATTGTTCTTTCAACTTGCTTGTTTTCCAGAGTTTCGAATATAACTGCAACTTGAATACCTATCACACAATTCCAATGGTTTTATCTCTGTCCTCTTTCAGCCTAGATGATTGGGAAGCATTTATGAGACTATTTCATTTGGAAATATTTCAGGCTGTATCTCTGAAGATAAGACCTCTTTTAAAAACATGACCACAGATTAACATTTAAAAAAAGAAACAGGAATTTTTTTGTTATCATCAAGTCTTTACTGTTCAGATCTCACTGAACCGATACCCTTTTTTTTTTTTTTAAAGATTTTTGTTTATGCATACAGAACTGGGGTATAGGCCAGAGGTGCAGGGGCGGTGAGAGGATTCACCAGACAGAGCAGGGAGCAGAACAGGCAGATTGACGTGCACTGCTGAGGGGAGCAGTGGGTGAGAAGTTTGCTGCACCATGTGGGTCACCTCCATGGCCAGGGATTGAACTTGCACTGAGGTGGCTACAGCCAGCTCGCAGTACTGCATCCTAACCCATTGTACCACCAGGGAGGGCCCTGAACAGATGCCCTTTTAAAAAAGTTTAGTTTGATCAAGGTCAAAAGAGGTTCATATATTGCAATTAGTTGTTACCTTAAAAAAAAAACCAAAAAACAAAACTACTGATGTGCAATTTGTATAACCATAACATCCACCCATTTTAAGTGTGTAATTTGATGGTTTTAGCATATTCAGAAACTAGAACACTTTCATTCCCCCTTCCAACTTCTATTAGTAATTAACTCCCCATTCTAGTATACCCCACCCCTATTAACCATTAAATTATTTCTCTCTATATGGATCTACCTCCCCTTGGATTTATATATAATTGAAGTCATATAATAATACTCTCTTTTGCTGGCCTCTCCCACTTAGCATTATGTTTTTTAAAAATTATTGAAGTAACACTGGTTTACAACACTGTACATGTACTGGAGGTATAGATTCACACCTCTTCAGATGCTTGTTAACATACTGCACCCATCACTGAATTAGCAATAACTGTCACCACTGTCCACTAGGGCCCCTTTTGTCCCCACCCCACCCTACCTGAGTGAGTAGCCTCAATTTTGCAATTTCCAGGGTTCGTTTTGATTTAGTGTTGTCTGTTCTCTTGCTTTGTTTCTTTATAGTCTACACATGAGTGAAATCATCTGGTATTTGTCTTTCTCCTGATTTATTTTCACATAGCATAATGTTTTTACAATTCATCCATGTTTTAGAATATGTGCCAGAACTTCTTTCCTTTTTATGGATAGCCGATTGCATTGTGTGGATATATACCATACTTTAACCATCCATTCATCAGTTGATGGACATTTGGGTCATTTCCACTTGTCAGCTATTAAGAATAGTGCCACTGTATTACTTGTGAACAAGCTGTTGTGTGGCTTTAAATGTTCATCCCTCTTAGCTAGATACCTAGGAGTGGCATTTCAGGTTCACGTGGTAATTCCGTGTTTAATCACTGAGGACAGTCAGACTGTTTTCCAGAGTGGCTGCACCACTTTCCATCGCTAGCATACGGATTGCCATTTGGCCACATCCTCTCCAGTACTTCTTGTTCTCTTCGATTTTGTTATCCTAGGGTTTGTGGAGTGGTATCTCTTTGTAGGTGCGATTAGTATTTTCCAGATAAATAATGGCATTGAACATCTTTTCTTGTTCTTATTGGCCATTACTATATATCTTCAATATTTTGACAGTTCAAAAAATTATCGAGTGATAAGAGTTCTTTATTCTAGATACTGGTAACATATTAGATAAATAATTTACAAATATTTCCTCCAAATCTGTGGCTTGTTTTTTATTTTCCTAATAGTGCCTTTTTCAGTACAAAATTTTAAAATTTTGATGATATCCAGTTCACCTCATGTTTCTTTTGTTGCTTATGCTTTTGATGTGATATCTACAAAACCATTGCCCAGTCCAAGGTCATAAAAGTTTGTTTACATTTTCTTCTTGAAAGGAGATAGTTTTATCTTCCATTTAGGTCTTTGATCCAGTTTGAGTTGACTTTTGTGTACAGTATGAAATAGGGGTTCACATTTATTCTTTTGACTGTTGATACCCAGTTGTCCCATTTACTGGAAAAGCTATTCTCTGCCTCACTTAATGGGTTTAGTAACCCTATCAAAATTCAGTGGACCGTAGTGTGAGAATTTATTTCTAGTCTATTAATCTGTAGGTCTCACATGATGCCAGCATCGCACAGTGCTGATTATTGTAGTAAGTTTTGAAATAGGCTTGCAAGGTATTTCTGACAAATATTTGATAAGGTGGCGGCTTCAGTGGCCAGTAATCTTATGTCAGCATGATTTCTGGAATTCTTTTGGGGAGAAGGCTCATTGGTTTGTAGGGCTCTTTGACTTTCATCATATAATCTATCAAAGTAAGTATGAAAATACCAAAATAACTCTACTTTAAGGCCCATTATAATCCATTAATTTAGGGCCAGTTACAAGACTTGTGATTGCCAAGGAAAGACTTAGCAGTTTATCGAGTTTGGGGCTTTGACTGGACTGTTCTGTTTGAATTGTGAAACTATTGCAAGAGGTGAAAGCATAAAAACTTCATTCTCAGTAAAGATTGGATCTGACATTTTAAGTGCAGTTGGAACTTACAACTATTCAATATATAAGTTGTAAAATGAATGACTGATTTCAATTGATATTCATAAAGTCATGATGAATGAAGACCGTGGGAAGAGGTTCCTAGATAAGTTTTTCAAAAGAACCAGCAAGAGAACTCAAAATCTCACCAAAACTCTTTTCCAAGATGTCTTGGTATGCGTGATAAGATTAATGATGTTAATTTTCTTGTTTTTTGCTGTTTTCCACCATGATTGTGTATTACTTCCTCTCTCTTTCATTAAAAGTGCTTGACATATTTTTACTTTAAGAATTCAAAATTTACCTTTTGAATTTTTAGTAGACTTTGGCAGGGTTTTCGGTACACCTTGCAGGAATGAAGCAGGAATGAATTTACGTAACTTGCATGTCATACTAAGTATGTTGTTGCTTCTTTTACCCTACTCTGATTTACATAATCTTTTCAAAGCTGCTCATATGTTGTTTTTAGCCATATGATTTGTAGTTGCTTTTATGAATAAATGTGTTTCTGGTTATACGGTGGAGATTGCTAAATGCATTTCTATAGCAATACAAAAACTGTTCTAAATAAGTAACTAATGTAACTAATGATTTACTTAAACAATATCTCTTACTAGGTTCTGTGGCTAAGAACTTCTTCACCAAATCAAAGCTTTCCATTCCAGAACTTTCCTATATATGGTAAGTACAGTTAATGCCATGTGGTATGATACTGTCATATACATCCATCCTTTGGCTCCCACTGTTGGATTTTTTTCAAAGTTTTATCTCTTGAATTTTTTTTTTTTAAACAGAGTAAGAAAGTGAGTAGCACTTTGATTTTTGTTGCCGTAGATACTCAGTAAGTTACCGTATGAAATGAGCAGTGAGTGCTGTGTGGCATGTGCGTGTGCTCTTCAGTGGCAGCTATCATTTCAAGTCATTACCCTCCTCCGGAGCCCTCGGAGCCTCAGCAGTCGTGTGGCTTGGATACCTTCTGTCTTGTGTCTTTTACTCTCAGCCTTTTCTACTTGGTATGATGCAGGCAACCGGAGGACACTGAAAAGTTTTCTTTTTCATATTTTATGAGGCCAGATGAACAAAATCCACAAATGATTTGAACTTAAGAGAGACCATTCTAGTTGCCTCTGAGCTTCATAAATTTTGCTGGTATTTGTCAGCTGTGCGCTCGCTCGGGCTTGCAGTTGCAGGCTGGCAATGGAGGGTTGTGTTGAGGAGGACCACGTGGCTTCCTTTGCATTCGCGAACGTGCTCAGCGCTGCATGCAATGCGCTCTTCCTCAAGACAGGCCAGGAGACAGGACTGCTATAACTGTAGAATTCAAGATGTGTGAGTGCTTGTGTAAAGCTTTCACTGCGAGAATTCTGGATGTATGCTAGGATACAGAATCCTATGGCGTGCTTTGTGCCCTTACTGGAAATTCACGCTCATCATCCTGTGATGCCCATGGATCTGCCATTCAGAGCTGGATTTAGGTTCTCCAGCAGTCTAGTTTGCCTTTTTGTTTTTTACATTTTCAAAGGCCAGGTTTATTGGGAAAGGACAGGAGAAGATGCCAGCCCAGATAAAAGCAGACAGAACAGGTTTGTAGAGAGGACACCCGCATAGGTGCTGGAGGGCAGAGGGCGCCTGTGTTTTTTGTTGTTTTGCTTCTTACTGCAAGCTTTACATTGGATTTCAAAGGTAGGAAAAAAATGGTCATTTCACAAGAATGCAGTGTTTGAGCAGAATTCTCAGATTTACCGTGATTGGCATGAGGCTGTCTCGCTTTCGGTTGCGACAGAGCAGGCTCACTCTCCATCAGCGTTTGAAGTTGTTTTCCTGACTCCTCGCCCTGGGGAGCTGCTCTGTCAGGGCCGGTGAGTTCTAAACATTTGAGGGGAGCAGGACATGAAAGTTGCAGGAGAGTGATGACTTGTGTCAGACATTTTTCTTCCAAATAGGAGAATTTTCTGGGTATAGTTGGAGATCTCATCTCCCTGCTTGTCCTAACACTCGTTTGCTTACTTGTCTCTACTCCTGAGAGCCTGGGTGAGCTTCTGGGTCTTCGTTACCTCAGCAAATCGGTGTCTTTGTGCTGGGTAAACAGGTCTCTTTCAGTGGGGAACAGTGGCCTGGGGAGGACAAGCCTGGTCAGGACTTTCCTGTTCTTCTCTGTCTCATTTGGGTCCACCCTTTCCTCATTGCTACTTTTGTCTGAAAAACGGAATTCAGCTTGTATTTGTTGAGCTTGCTTGTATTTTTCTCAGGAGGGAATTCCTTTTTTTAAAATATATTTTTATATATTTTACATCATTGTCCATTTCTGCACAGTGCTTGCTCTGTCCCCACAGAATTCCCACCACCCATTCACCCTGCATCACACCAGAGTCCCATGTGCTCTTCCCACTTCTGTTTTGATCCCTCTTCCTCCTCCAGCCCTGGAGGGTGCCTCTGATTTATAGTTGCCTGTTAATTTTTTTTGTTGTCATTATTTTTTCCTGATTCCCTGTTTGGTTCCCCTATATTCCTCCTCTAAGTGAAACCATCTGATATTTTTCTTTTTCCTTCTGAGTTACCTCACTGAGCATAATCCTTTCTAGCTCCATCCATATTGCTGCAAATGTCATGAGTTTATCTTTTTCGATTGCTGCGTACTAGTCCGGTACTCATGACACTTGTAATATTTAGGGAACTTAGTGATGCTGACTGTGACGGAGCTCTGACTCTGCCAGAGTTCTGTGCTGCGTTTCATCTCATTGTTGCCCGGAAGAACGGATACCCACTGCCGGAGAGCCTGCCTCCAACCCTGCAGCCAGACTACCTGCAAGCAGGTAAGGGCCCCTCTCAGTCCTACAGCATTTTCTATACAGATCTGATAAGAAACCTTTGTTTTCAAAGATGGTGTCCAGACACTTTGAGGAGTTCTCTGTAGTTATTGTCCTTTAACTAATCCTAGACTTCTACATCTTATAACAGAGATAAGAGGGATAATGTGGGTGTGAGCCATTTGCCATTCCCGTTCTAGTATCCTCTGGATGGATGAACCAATATCATTATCCTTTTATGAAAGTTGTGGAATAGGCAAGTTGAGAACCTCCTAACTGGTATAAAGAGGAAGCTTTCCTACAGTCAGGTGTAAAATCACCATCTTCAGGCGTGTTCCAGTGTTTCCAAGTGGCCTTGGGCAATGGAACGGAATAGGACTCTTAAACCTAATTAAAATGTTAAAAATTACCTGCTGTGAAATGTGCAAAGAACTGTAATTTTAAATGTACATTGGATGAGTTTTTGCATATTATGTACCCTTGTAACTGCAAGCAGCTAGATCTAGAGTATCCCTACACACCAGAAGGTTGGGCTCTACCTCTTTCTCCTTATAACTGTTACCTCAAATCCTCGGGACAGGAAGGAGTCATGGTGTGTCCAGTGTCTGGACTAGTACCTTTGGAAGGTGAGAAAAAGTAATAGTGTCTCTTGCCCTTTTCAAAGGCAGTGGGCACTTACATGATTTCTATTACTCAGAGAAGTACAGCCACCAATGAAAGAGTCTGCAGAGAAGTAATACTCACAACAACCTCTCTCACTTTTCAGGAAAGGTCTCTTGAAAATAGGTGAGTGTGGTCATGGATGATTATTGCTAGAGGTGGCAGTGTCTAAGGAAAATACGATTCATCATTAATAGAGTGTAACTAGAGTCTGGAGAAGGCCTTGGATTGTTTTGTCTGGGCCCTTCCTCAAAACAACACCGGCTCTAAGTGGTTGATGACTTACCTGTCTTGGAATCAGAGTCTTGAACCAAGACTGATTTTCTGTATCAGACAGTGAGGGGTGGAGGCTGAGCCAAAGTGGGGAGGCTACGTATGTGTACTGCCAGGGACATGTGAACGTGGTGGAAGAAATGTGACCATTTTGGGATCTCCCCAAATGCCCCCATAAGTTGTATGAAGTGGAGGATTCAGAGCAAAAGCCACTCTCTTGTCAGGGCTTGGTCTTGGCTGGCAGCAGCTGCTTTCCAGCTATGGCAGACTGGATCCCAGCCTGGCAGCCTTCCTACAGGGGAAGCCCTTCAGGTTCCCAAGATTCAGCTGGCGATTAGGTAACATGGCAGTCTATTTCCTCTTTTGTGTCTGTCTCCCTCTCCTCGTTCCTCTTCCCTACTCTCTTTCTCTCATCCCCCTCCTTTATTCCTCCTGGATCTATGGCAGAGAAACACTAACCTTCCTGGGGCCTATGTGGTTCCGTCGTCAGTCATTGTGGGGTGATGGGAGAGCTCCTTCTGCATCTCTGTGGGGATGAGTAGTTGACCAGCGGGCTGTGGTCTGCTCTGGGGTTGTTGAGCTATGTCTACACCATCACCGCTTCCTTTTGGGGGCCCTGGAGAGAGTCCTGGGTAACACCTCCCACACTTCCCTTTAGCTTCCTGGTTTTACTGTTTCTTTCTTTTGATGCTGGATGATACAGGAACCCATGGCCAGCGATAAGATTTCTTGTGTGAGAAGTCACTTTGTAGGTGTCCAGGTGTTTTATGTTCTGTGTCAGAAGTTGCTGATAAAGTTTTTACAAATGTGCAAGCCCTGAGTAAAGTGTTAACAGAAGAGAAATAGCCCCTTGATTCCTGTGCTGCTGCAGAAGGCTGCTTCCACCGTAGGGTGGCTGGGGCAGAGGGGCATGGGCATCGCCTACATTGGAATGAAGCCCCCTGCTTCTTCCTGGTCTTTGATGGAGACTGCAGGCATTCAGACACAAACAATGGGTGAATTCATCACGTACCCTCCAATTAAACAAAAATTGCACATCATTTCCAGAGCTTGTGGGATTAATCTTAAATAATAATTATACAGTTCTACCAGAAAACATGGTCAAACCTCATCAAACTCAGTGAGAACATATGTTAAACAAGCCCTGAGGGCTTAGCAGTTAACTTAAACACTTTATCGCCCGTGTTTGTCTTTGTAGATGGCTCAAGAAAATGGCCAGAACTCTTGGTTTTTCTCTGTGTTTTTAGACTCTGCAAAATATGAATGGCCCTGTTCATTTGGGGGGGTTTATTTGGATGGTGTCCCATTGGCTTTCAAAAAAGCTCACTTCTGTTCTTATTCCAACATTTTTCTAATTGATTTATATTTAGTCTTAAGAAATAGCTAATCTGGTTTTTCACTAGAGTGCTGAGGAGTATAAATTTGGTTGATATTATGCATTCAAAACTATGAACTAGGTGCCACTTTACTCACAGAGAGATAGTTGCTTTTTCCTAACAGTGAAAATTAAAGGGCAGAGTTAGAAGGAAAATTGCAACTATTGGTGGCTTACTTAGAAGCCTTTTGATATTTTCAATGCTGCCACTGTGTTTTAAGCAGGGAAGTCACGTAGTTAGATTTGCTGCTTGAGATGACCATGCTGGGTGCTGACCAGGTCTTGAGGGGCAAGGGTGGAAGCCAGAAGACAGGTCTTGGCAGCAGTCCTCTTAGATGCTGCAGGGCACCCCTTTGTGGAGGGAACAGTGGAGGTGGAGTGATGAGGACATGCTGGAGAGAGATTTAGCAACTTGAATGCAGTTGTAGTTTTTGAAAGTATTAGCTTTGAGACCAGTCAGATCACTGTTTGACAGACCAAGAAAGAAAGCGCCTAAGATTGGTTAAACCCCCTCTTGGGACTGGATCAAGGACCGGTCCTTGGAATGGAGTGTTGCTGGGTCTTACAAGAAAACAGTGAGATTACCTGGTACAGTCAGAAATTCACCGGGCATAGTTTTCTCCACCTGCTCTTCAGTGAAATTCAGCCCACAGTAAGCCACTGACTATTTACATGCTTGTATTCAGTGGCACACAAGGTAGCTGTTACCCAGCGGCTAGTACTTTACTGAGGAGGGGAGTTGGCATTTCAAATCCAGCGGGGGTGTGGGTGGGGGCTGGGGGTGGGGGTATAAAAAAATAATGCTCTTCCATTTTTAAGTATTTTTGGAACCATTTTGCTTTCTAAACTGGTGTTGGCAAATTTGATTTTTGCTTCTGTTTATTGTCTACCTCATCTGCTTTTCCTCTTTGTGATATCAACAACTGTTCTACTTGTTCAGACATCTCCTTAATTACTTCCTGACAAAGTGGTGAAACAGAATCTACTTCTAAGAAATGACATGAGGGCAAAATATTAACTGACCAAGGGGCAGAGTTTTCTTCATGCTGGTCCACTTAACTCCCTTAGCAAACAGCCTGTTACTGTTAGGTGTTGGGAGAAATCTGTGATTCTTAGGTCTGCTGTCAACCTAGAACTTAGGCTCTTGTTTTTGTTACTCCTGTTAAACAAAAGAAATGAGTAGTTCATGCAGTATATACGATCTTGTGTATTTCCAACCACAGCTCAGCTGAACCATCCCATACATAATGTCTCTCATTTCAGACTGTCATCACAGTGGCTACCATTTAAATTCATGCCAATGCCTAGTTAAAGCTAAAGGATAGTGATAGTGATGGGTAATGTGGAAAGTGACTGCTATGTGACCGAGATGCTGCAAGCATCTGCCACAGGATACTGGCGCTCCAAGTGCCTGCTCTAACACTTCCAGCTACGTGATGGTGAGCAAGTCACTCAGCTTTGCCGCTCCTCAGTTTCATTGGGTGTAAAGTGAAGATGATAGAGATAGCAGGTTGTGATGTGAAGAATCTGAAATACTAACTCTGTGAGTACTGTCAGCACTGATCACAGGAGCTGGTGGGGGTTGTGTTGTGTTTAGCAAGCACAGAAAAGCTGACAGGAAACAATGGCCACTCTGTAGTAGGTCTTCTTATGTATTCTTTTTGTTTCTTTTTAGCCTTTCCTAAGCCCAAGTGGGAGTGTGCGTTATTTGACTCTTATTCTGAGTCATTGCCAGCAAACCAACAACCCCGCGACTTGAATCGGATGGAGGTAAAAGACCTTGTATAAGTAAAGATGTATGCAGGGTTAAGCCTATTAGCCACTGTATCCAGGGGTCTTTATATACTGTGGAAAGTCCACTTTCATACATCTGCTCTTCATACTTAGCTCTTAGTTTGAGGCTCAGCTTTTCAAATGTAGATACCAGATGTATCTGTAACTTTTTCCTTTTCTCCCTAAAACAAGGTATAGAAAAATACGCAAGTTAGTCTCTTGATCTTCTAGAGGTGAAATGTAGGTATAGCCACACTTAGCCAGAAAAATGCTATTGTTTACTTTAACTACACTTTAATTCTGAAGCAAGCATTATAAGGTTGTATTTTTTGTAACCAAATATTTCTAAGGTATCATGAACTGGAACAGTTTTGAGAGGAAGTTTGAGGGCAGTATATGAGGCTACAGCCCACACTCAAAGCTGCCTTTCCCTCCCGAAGTTTAGCTTTGGGAGCAAATGACGACTGACTAGTGTGATTTCCAAAAGAAACCTGACGTATATCCATGGTGCGGGCCGGAGTTGTATAGTGATTGTTAATGTGAGCACTGTCATTGTGTGATCGCTCTTCTGATTGCTCTGATGCCAGCTTAGGGCCCCTCCTCTTCCCACCGCCACATAATCTGGAATTGGTTCATAAGTGGAGGTTTACTCACAGCCTCCTCTTGGAGTCTTCTGACTCTAGTTTACTCTTGCTGGACGATGAAGTCAGTCAGTACAGGGCCGGTCTTTAATTCCTCGTAACTTTGTGATTATTTACCCTTTCCCATGGGGGCACTCAGACCCACATTTTGAGCTGCAGGGCTGTCCTCTGCCCCTCTGAGTGACTTGCGCCTGCCTTTTTCACATTCTCTTTGGTAACGTCTCCCTTGGTCCCTGTCACTGTTTGTAGCCTCCCTGCCACTTTCCTCAGCAGGTTTCTACCCATGGGAAGAAGACATAAGGAAAAATCATTTCGGGAGGAGTGGTAAATATGCATTTGAAGAATTTTGGTTAAAATTTTATTTTTCTGCAGAATGCATATGGTGAAGAAGCCAATTCAATAATTAGCCACTTCTCCTGGCCCTTGGTGTGCTCGGGGCTGCTAGCAGTATGGAGAGGTGTCTCAGGCCAAGACGGGCCTCTCTACCAGTCTCTTATGCACTGATCCTGTTTTTGATTTTGGCTATAGGTCCCCCTGCTTATGAGGTTGGTAGGTGCTTTGCTGAAACATGTTGTAAAGTCATCTTATTTCTGGATAATTTAAGACAAATGGTACTGTTTTGGGGGAGAAATTATTTACTGACTCATGTTTCTTTCCCCCATGTAATAATATATCTTTCTAAGAGGAAAGGAACAAATACACAGGAGTCTCTGAGATCTGGAAATGGAGACATTTTGAAACATACACATGCTGATGGCATTGATGACAGTGTGTGTGCTCCTTTTAGATATTATGCGCACCTAGTTTGACAGGCTTTGGTATTCTTTCACTGGCCTCTGGTTGGGTGAGTTAAAACCTACCAAGTCTGTGAAAATTTCCTTTTCTAAACAAAAAAGCAAAACAAAACCAGCCAGCCAACCAACCAACCAACAACAACAACAACAAAAAATAAATACCAAATCCAAAATCTCTTTCTCAACAAAGCTTATATTTTGAGATGGGGTACTCTTAGATAATGATAATAAACAGAATTCAGGGGCCAAGTAATTGGGTTAGTTGGTGGTTTGACCATTTGGGAAGTATAGCTCAGGTTTTAATAGCTAATGATTAAATATTTCATGTTCTTCTAAACTATTTGTTTGTCATTCTTCCTACCTGTCTTATAATGTCATCAATGCCGGAAATCTAAATAGATCTGGTAAAATTCCATATGGGTGTTTGTGTTGTGAATGAAACTACAACTGATTCTGGTGATGAGAAGTTTGACGCTGTGTGGTACATTAAAAAAAATATATATTTACTACATCATCCTTCCTTTTCGTACAATGTATGATTTCCCTATGGAATTCTACCACCAATTCACCTGTGCACCATCACCATAGTTCCTTGTGCTCGTCCCATGCTGTCCTGATCTTCCCCCTCCTCCACTACTGGATATCTTTGCTCTATAGTTACCTGATGGTTTTCCTTCTCCCTTCTGGCTTATTTCACTGAGCATAATCCCTTACAACTCTATCCATGTTATTGCAAAGGGCATGAGTTTATCCCTTTTGATTGCCAGGTAATATTCCATTGGATAAATAAGACAGTTGTATTGATATATAATTCATATACCACATTCATCTAAAGTATCAGTGGTTCTTAGTACATTAAAAAGTTGTGAAACTATTCCTATGATCTAATTTCAGAGCATTTTCATCACCCCCACAAGAAACATTGTACTTGTTAGTCATTCTTCCTTCCCCCAACCTTTGATAATCATTACTGTTTTTTTCCTCTGAATTTGCTTATTCTGGATGTTTCATATACATAGAATCATGCAATATGTTATCTTTCATGACCAGACACTTTTACTTAGTGTAATATCTTAAAAGTTCATTTGTGTTGTAGCATGCATCAGTGCTTTATTCCTTTCTGTTGCCGAATTGCATTCCATAGTATGGCTACATCACATTTTATTCGTTCATTCTTTATTAGGGATTTTCCACTTTGTGCAGTTAGCAAAAGTGATGCTATGAACACTCATGTGCAAGTTTTTGTGTGATCATGTTTTCAGTTCTCTTGGTACACACCTAAGACTAAAATGGGTACATCCTATACCTTGTGGTTAACTTTCTGAAGATCGACTGAGCTGCTTTTCAAAGCAGATGTTCTCTTTCATTCCTCCACCAGCAGTGTATGATGTTTCTGATTTTTCCACCTCCCTGTTAATGCCACTTACTGTTTTGTCCCTTTTAGTTTTGTGGGAATAAAGTGGTAGCTCACTGTGCTCTGACTTGAAATTTCCAATGACTAATGATAATGATATGAGTACATTTTCATGTGATGGTTAGCCATTTTATATCTACTTTGGAGAAATTTCTTTTCATATGTTTTGTCCATTTATGAATTGGGTTGCTTATTATTATTGAGCTATAAGTGTTCTTTATTCTGAACACAACATTCTTTATTGATAAATAATTTGCAGTATTTTCTCTTTGGTTTTTCTTTATTTTGATATTGTCCTTTGCAACATAAATTTTTTTGACTGTGATGAATTATATATTTTTTCCTTTGGTTACTTGTACTGCTTTGCTGTCATATCTAAAATCATTGCCTAATATAGCATCACTACAAAGATTTACTCCTATTTTAAAGCTTTATAGATTTGGGCCTTCCATTTAGGTCTGTCATCCATTTTGAGTTCATTCTTGTGTGTGCTGTGAGGAAGAAGTCCCACTCATTTTTTTTTGTGCATGGATACCCAATTGTCCCATCATCATTTATTGAAAAGACAGATGTTATACACCCTTGTTGAAATTAAATTGACCACAGATGCAGGGTTTGTTCATGAACTCACTGTGCCACTTATCTATATGTCTGTCATTATGCTAGTATCATACTGTCTTCATCACCCTAACTTTGTGGTAAGTTTTGAAACTTGGACATTTCAGTCCTTCAACTTTGACCAGCTTGTCAAATTCTGTAAAATTTTCTCTGAAGGGTGTGATCCTCTGCCCTACATCAGTGTTGTAAACCAATGTTACTGCAATTGAAAGCAAACAAAAACCCCAAAACTTAAAAAACAAGAAAGATAGCACTGACTCCAGCTGAATTTGGGAGGTGTCATCTTAACTGTCTTTTCATCTCACCCATAAGCATGGGATGGCTTTCCATTTGTTTAGATACTAAACATTTCAACAGTGTTTTCTGGATTTCTTTTTTTAAATCTCAATTTTCTACTCTTAAATTATTTCTTCTAGGGTATGGTTTATAATCTGGGTGGGAGAAGACAATGAAAGAAAGTCATTGTTAGGGTACATTTCTGTCCTGTCAGAGTTAACTAGAGGCCCTTGAAGAGGAAATTCTGTCTGGATGCTTCATTGTCATGCCAGAATGACCTGCCTGAGGATGGCAGGTCCTAGAATAGGGTATCTTTAAGGAGTATTCTTCACTCCATTCTTTGTAACAGCTTAAAAACAAATATTGATGATCTTTTTGGGGTTGCTCAGAATCTGAGAGGTAAACCAGTTAGCCTTTTACACAGCTCCAGGAATATACCCTGCTTCCCCTAAAATTTATCTTTATTTGATTGTTTTGAATATGTTAAAAAGAATGTCAGAAGGTAAGTCCTCTTCCCAGTCATCCTTTATTTTTTCTTTTCAGAATTTGCTACATATTTAATGTATATGTCCTTGCCTTTAGTCTTGTGAGAGGTCTTAGAGTGTGTGTGCAGAGAACTTCTAAAAATGAATATATAGAAAGTACATTTTAAACCAATCCATTTGGATATTTATTGGTATAAAGAAGGTTTCCTTCATAGTTGAATTAGGAGAAAATTTTGTTCGCGCATCAATAAAATTCTTATTCCAATCCAAAGAGGCTCTTTGCATCAGAGTTGATGTTCCTCTATGTAACAGATCCTGGCAAATATCTGCATTATGGGGCCACTCGTTAAAGTCTCCATACTTGTGGGAAAAGTGCACACTATATGGGTTTGCTGATGTTGAATGGGCAAATCCTATACGATTCTCTGACTGAATCCCACAGCAGATTCAGAGTTAATATACTGTTTATACATAGGTCTCAGTCTGAATACTTTTTTCTTCTCTACATGTAAGTTTTTCAGTACAAATTAACTTTCCCCTCACTAGGAATTTGAAAGGATAAAACAGTATTAAATGTCAGGGTTTGCTGGAGACAAATACTGGCAAGCTATGAAGCTTTTAAAGCATTTTCATTGTATGTACGTATCATTCGAATTCTATCCCACCAATATAATTAATTTATGTTTCTTTTCCAAGAAGACATCTATTAAAGACATGGCTGATTTTCCTGTCCCATCCCAAGAGATGACTGATAATGACAAACAAGGTAGGGAAAAAAATGAGTTTTCTTCCTTTCGGGACATTCTGTGTGTCTTTATTCCCTTCTCTTTGAATGGCTGGCTTCTAGGGCATGTGAGGACGGTTCTCAATATATGAACAAATTATTGTCACAAAACTGAAGTTCACACATGTGTGAGTGTTCAAAGCCCGCCACTCATAGGCCCCTTCACTCATTCCTTCTGCTGTCTGATAGTGATTTGGTACCCAGGAATGGGCTTTTCTAAAGTGACTAAAACCAGGTGAAGCTATTTCTAGTGAATTTTAGCCTTGATTGCACATTAGAATAACCAGGTGAGCTCTAAAATACTCATCTGGGCCTCATGCCTCATTGGTCTGCATCTCTATAACCTAAGGGGGACTTGCTTATATCTCAGTCATTCTTCTCCTGGCCACTAGAGGTGCTATCTCTGAAAGACTGAAAATACCACTTTGTTCTCAGTAGAAGAGAACCTATTTCCACACTTAAAGAGGTCTTTACTGGTTCAGTAAATGCTAAAGCAGCTTTAGAGGTTTGTAATGCTGTGTTCATTAGTGACAGCTTAGGGAACTCTTCTAATTTTATGTACCTCAGAATAAAATTCTACTATCCCCCCCCCTTTTGTCTTGTTCTTTCAAAACAAAACTGCTAGTTTTGAAAAGTACTACAGATGAAGCCTTACCAAAGGACATATCCAAGGATTCAGGTAGGAGAAAACCATTTTTAGTATATTTTGTATGCAATTATTTCCAATTAAAAAACACAGTTTTCAGTATGAAAACCAGTACATCTGTGATAGTTTTACTCTAAATATTTTGTATTTTATTATTTTGTATTTTTTATTATCTCCTACTCTTTTCAGGTAGGAGAAGAGGGAGAGTTTTAAAAATTTCTGAATTTAGATTTCACTGAAAGGCAGTCAGTTTGCATTTAGGATCTTATTGTTACTAAGTGTAAAATCCAGAAGGTTCCAACAACCATCCTGGTTTCTGTGTAAAGAACTGATGGAGGAGATAAGCTAGAAGTCCACAGTTGACATTTTAATTTCTAAAACATTTTATTTCCAGATCTCAAATATTTTTATTATACTTCACTGCCAGGAAGGCAAGCAAATGCGCTTATATTTGTGCTTGGAGTAGATTCCCAGGAGAAAAAGAAAAATTGTGTTCGTTCAGGTTTTTGGAGAGTTGGGACCTTGTTTGTGAAAGGTGGAACTAGCTGGACCCAGGTCTCCCACTCTCCCCATGGTGTCACTGCTCGGCCCAGATGAATCTGGTCAAAAACAAACAGCTAGGGAAGGCATTACTATTTGGAGTTCTGCTTATGAGGACAATAAAAAGTCACTATTTTCTCTTTTATTGTTATTTCTTCTAATATTTAATAAATAAAGCATGGCTGTTTGGTTAGTTAGCTATTATCCCAGGTTTATTTGTTTTAAAGTTGGAACAAAAGAATCAGTTTAACATTGAGGCTTATTCTTTAATAGACAGTATTTCTAAAAGATGAAGTTCATTCAAAGTGTGAAATAGAGGGGTGGAGGGGAAGGGAGGGATGGTAGAGAGAAGCTTCGGCTTCGACATAAACGAGAGTAGAGGATTGCCTTCAGTGACAGGGCCTGAGAATCTGTATTCACAGGCAAGCTCCACCTGCTCCCACTGATTCTGGTATTCTCATGTGCAGCCTGTTCCAGGAACCACCACCTTTCGAAGGCCAGGTTAAGAAGTACAAATTGAGACTGTGGATCAACCATGACTCCAGACGTGTTAGGAATTCCTAAGCTTAGTTTTGACTTTTGAATTTGATTTGGGTTCCTTCCTCAGAGGCAGAAACTCGGTTTGTCTAGGATGGACACCTGAGCGAGGTTCTTTCCACGGGGCCCCCAGCTAAGTGGATGCTGCTAGGCTATGCACAGTTCACATTAGGGTATGAGTATGTAGGCAGAGTTAACTGGGCAAACAGTATTTCCTTTCTCCCTGGGGCTTTAGCTGGGCCATGAGTTACTTTCTGGGGTACGCACTTCAGAAAGACCTCATTTGTTAGAGCCTTTGGGGACCTGTCAAGCCTACTGCCCCACGAAGCTGCATGTATGTAGCTCACAGTCTGCTTGGGAGCCTCTGGTATGGTGTCTGGTGACTTCCTCCCCTGCAGCCTGTTTCTGGAGTGAGGTAAGGGAACCCCTATCCTGAAAGAGCGTTGAATACGCCATCTCCTCGGGGTGTCAGAGTCCCAGTGGGAGGTGCTGCAGTTTTGAGCTGTAGCTTCTGATTGTACGCAGCTGTCCATTCATGTGCCGCAACAGTGTTGTAGGCTGCAAATGGAGTGGGGCCGTGTTATGGGGGGCTGGGTGTGTTTCTGGGTGCATATTATTTCCACGTACCCTCACCTTTTTAACTGTTGAGGAAAAAATATAAGTGGAGTCTAACAGATTTCTTAATTAGCATCAGATTGCAGATTGATCCAGCACATGCACACTGCTTGCCAGTGCTCTCTGGTATCTCTCGTCCTGCTGAGGGCATTAGTCCTGTCTGCCCTCACGCGTAGCATTCACACTGCTGTCGCTGAGTCTGGCAGCTGCCCACGGCCAGTTATCTCCCGTGGGCTCCTGGGGTAGAGCAGTTCTCTTCCACTACCTGCACCCACCTTTACCACCCTTGCCCCTTGCTGTCCCACATTTCTAAGCTTGAAAAATTAGGAGCACTCTGCAACAGTGTTTTTCAATTCTAAATTTCATTTAGCTTTCAAAGTACATTCTCTCACCCATTGCGAACGAGGCCACATTTTTATCATCTTCATTCTGTGGGGAGGGGAGGAAACCGAGGTTCAGAGCAGTAACAGCTGGTGAGTACTGTCGTGGCCAAGTGGAGCACCTCAGCCTCCGCGCTCCCGGCCTGGGCTCCGCTGCCCAGCCATACCCTTTGCCCTATCTCCTGGTCTGTCTATCTCTCACCAGCAGGGCTCACCCCTCCTCCCACACTCATTCCCGCCCCAGCCAAAAGACCAAGATAATGGCAACTGACAAAGGACTTAGCAGCCACCACGGTGGCTCTGCACAGCAGTTAGTAGTTTCACATGGCCAAGACGTATTTCTGAAAGGCAGTGGGGCCTGAGGGAGAAGAGGGCACAGAGCTAGCTGAAGCAGCCTGCTCAGAGGGTGCCCCCCTGTGTGGTGAGTCTGGTCACAAACTGTCCTCCCAGCCCAGGGCAGCCCTCTGGGCTGCAGGTGAGGCCCCCCCCCCCCCCCCCCCCCGCTTTCCCTGGCTGCCTGCTGTCTGTATCCTTGTGGGAGTGGGTGCACAGCACCGGGCAACACGGTGCTTGGGCTCCCCATGCTTTCTGGAAGCTCTGGCAGCGAGTTAATGGAGTGGAGAGATGCCTGTGTTTGCACTAACTCAGATTGGGAGAAGCGGCCCCTTAGCAGCTGGCCTTCGCTGGGCCACTTTGTGCCGGTAAACACTGTGGCACTCCTTCCTGCCTGCCTTGCCTGACGCAGGGGTTTCAGTGCTCACCATAACTTCAGTCTGCTTCATACCAGAGACAGTTTTTAATCTTTAGAGCAGTGTGTAAGAGGATGGCTAATGCAGCAAGAACGTTTCTTTCTGGAAGAATTTGTGCAGACAATACACAAACTCTGTTCTCCTTATTCCTTGTTATCAGCTCTTCTTCATTGACTAAAAAAGAATTTAAGTGCATTGTTTACATAATAATGGCGAGTAGGCCAGAGATGCAGGGATGAGAGGATTCACCAGACAGTAGGGAGCAGAACAGGCAGATGCCCTGAAATCCACTGCTGAGGGGGGAATTGGGCCAGGCAGGAGAGGTCTGCTGCGCCATGTTGGTCAGCTCCTGGCTGGGGATTGAACTCAGGCCATAGAGGTGATAGTGCTAAGCCTGAACTCCTAGGCCACCAGGGAGGCCCTTCTATGATTAAAAATTTGCAGTATTTTCAAAATCTTGGCATAGCTAACAGCCTCTAAATTGTCTTCCATAGAGGACTGAAAACATGAAAAGAGAATTTAATGTTTTTGTAAACGTTTTTAATTACTCCCAGCAACTTAGGCGGGTGAAGTAGGCTCCACTGCTATTGGCAGTGAGCAAGTCAGTTGATGGTTTGTTTGACAAGGAAAAGTCATGTGGTTAACAACATAGTTTACTATTTTCATTCCATAATATTTTCTGCATGATTTGGTCACAGACACGAGATAAGGTCATTTTCTTACAGGAGAATTTGCACACCTTATTTCTACTTACTGGTAGGAGCTGACGTGGGCTGTGCTTCTCTGGTATAGCTCTGTAGAGTTCTTTCCTATCTTCAAGGGAAACTGGTTCCACATCTTATTTTTGACAAAGGAATCAACTGTCACCTGCCTATCATGACAAATTAAGAGACCCTCAAGTGTGACTCCATCATTATATGGCTAGGTAACCCTGGAGAGGGCTGTCTTTTTAGATTCGAATTTCTTCTTAATCAACTTAGATGTGAGAATGTCTTCTTAGGTATTGCTCTGATGAAAGGGAAAATATGTTGCTTTTTCTTTCCTTGTAATTGTGCTTTTAGCTTTGGAGAGAAAACTCTGGAAGTATGAACATGTGGAAACCATCTGGTTCTCCACAAGGATACCTGGCCCTCACGTTTACCTGTCCATGTGTTCTATACCAGCCCAGGTGCTGTATATAAGCCTGTTTACCTGCAGAAATGAAAACCCAAGCAAACAACAACTAATCTTTGTTTCAGCCACTCCCAAGGATTCCAACAGTCTCAAAGGAAGACCAAGATCCAGGTAGTGTCTGATTTCTGTGGTAACGCCCTCTGTGCCCTGTCCCCGACTAGCAGTGCCTCCCCCTCCCCCAGCCAATGCATGGTGTCCTTTTCCTTTACACTTGAAGCTTAGGTAGGATGTGGGTGAGTTCGCTGTCTGCAGGGGACCGACCCAAGCACACAGTTCTCTGGGAACTCGCAGCACCCATGCCTGCCGCTGCTGTGAGTGTGGCTGCCCCGAGTGTGGCTGGTGACAGCCCCATTGAGGGGGTGAGGACTAATGGGGGCAGTGGCTTTGAGGAGAAGAAAATAGGACTAACACACAGCCTGTCCTGCTACGTTCAGTTTTCATGCTCTGCCTTGCCTTTCTTGCCGGTCAGTCACAGGATCACTCCAGAGCGATGTCCATGCTGTTATGGTAGCTTTGTTGAGGCTGCAGCTGTTCATGACAAGTCAAAGCCTTGACTACCATAAAGAAACCTTAAGCAACTTATTCAGGGAAATAAAAACTCTATATCAGGATGAACTTCACCGAGAATTGGAGGCACTTAATGGTAGTTGGTAGACTGATTTTCTGAGTGCCACTGCAATAGGTAAATACGAAGAACAATTTTCTGAGGTGAATGTCTCCAGGACACATCTGTGACTCAGAAGGTCATTTTCTATTTTGACATGAAGTTAGCCAAGAAGCCCAGTAGAACAGATGTACACATCCTCTTCTCAGAAAACCACAATGGGGCCCATCTGCAAACCCATTCCCAAGCAGCAAAGTAATGTGCTGAGTTAAATTGATTTAGAAAATGAGTAGGTCTCTAATAAACAGTTGAGCCACGACTGCCAGAACATTTCTTTCCTGACTCACAGGCAGTGTTGGAACATTTGAAAAATGGAATTCAGGAACAGAAAAAGGCCAGAGTTTGACTGGGACCTGTGTCATTTTCTAGCTGTGTGATCTGTGACGAATTACTTAATTCCTTTTTCTTCAAATGTCATTATTAGAGTTATAATCACAACAGTTGCCTGCCTTGCTGCAGGTTGAGGGAGAAGGTTAAGGTGAGGCTTTTGTTTTGAAGCTTTCCAGAAACTCTGACTGCTTATGTTAGCATACCCTGGACCTCTCAAACTGAGTGGCATGTGTTTTCCTGTCCTGAATTTCATTGTGACATATTCCTTGGACATTTGATTCTTAACTCGCAGCTTATCTGTCCCCATTCTATCTGTGTTGCATGTAAACGGGGAAAGTTCTGCAGTTAGTTAATATCATGAAGCTATTCTATTAAAATACAGAAGCAGAAAAGTTTTATCTGTTATTGTTATGAACGACTTCCCATAGAAATGGAATTGCTCTCAAAGAAAGCTTTCCTTTTGGGTACATTGAGGACTAAGGTATATACTGTGTACAAAGAGTTTAGAGAGATGCTGATTCATTTTTGGGGTTTGGGCATTTACTGCAGATAGTGGCATCCAAGGGGCAATAGAATTTAGGAGTGTTTTCCATTTCTGACCCACTTCAGAGACTGAAGCTTTGCTGTCTCCCTTCTGACCTTCCCTTGTTTCACTGCAGATCTTACTCTAGCACCTCCATAGAAGAGGCCATGAAAAGGGGCGAGGACCCTCCTACCCCCCCACCGCGGCCACAGAAAACCCATTCCAGAGCTTCCTCCTTGGATCTGAATAAAGTCTTCCAGCCCAGTGTGTCAGGTGAAGTGCCCTCTGCACCCCAACCCTTCCCTTTCCTGTCGGGGTTGCTCGAGGGGTATCTGCTGCAAGGGCCTTTGCATCCCGAGAATGTGCAGAGCAGCTGGCCATTTCTGGTCCAGGAGGCCTCTCTGCTGCGCTGGTAATTCTGGGCAGGAGAGGAGCTCCAGGCAGCTGTACATCACGTGTGTCTGGAGCCTTGCCCACGCTTGCTGTGGACCAAGAATTACGGGGTTCTCTACCAAGAGGATAAAACTTTCAGCCCCAGACAACCACCTGAGTGTGATTGGGGTCTTGGTCTTAGCTTTGTGGTAATTTGGATGCAAGATTGCTTTTTGCTGCCATTTTCTTCGATATTTATGCGTTCTGTGATGCTTATGCAGTTCTGTGAAAGATCTCAGTTGCAGCAGCTGGCCAGAGTCATCTGCCGTTTCTCCTTGTGGCAGAGCCTGTGCCTGCGGGGTACATGCTGGTCGGTGCTGGCATCTAAGCCAGGGCTCTTGGGGCGGCTACGCTGGGCTTGCGGGGCCAGCCTTTCTTGAGGCAGCTGCTATACTGGAGTGGGGGAGGTCGTAGGCTGGTGTCTGCCCCTCGATCCTGTGAAGTAGGAGGCGACCTCCTGGGGATCTGTGGGGGAGACGTGTGTTTGTTTGAGTCCTTGGGTACCGCACTGTCCCAAGTGTCGTTTTGGGAGCAGCAGGGGCCTTTCCACGAATGGGGGCATGCAGGATAAATGCAGTCATTTCCTGGAACTGTGCATTTTAGATCAGGCCAGCCTTAGATGCTAGTGATTTGCAGATTATTATCTTTTCGACTAAAGCAAAAAAGACTCTCCTTGGCTCACACATTAGCATGACCCCTGTGTCCCAGCAGAGCTCAGCATGTTTTATTTGTTCTAATAAAGTGCTCTCCTCACAGTAACGTTATAGATTGTTTTTTAATATACTCAAATCTGGAACTCTCTATGAAATTTGATTCTCTGCCATGAGTTCATCAGATAAAAATTGCCTTGGATTTCCCCCCATACTTTGATCCAAATTCTGGCATAAATTTTAGAGTAACTGGTATTTTGGGTTGGGAGTAGCCGTGGATGATGATGCTATAAAAATTTCACATGGTGCATGGATTATGATCTAGAAAATTTTTCTGTGGAACCAAGAAGATTCCAACAACCAGGCAGGTATCTCCGCGGGTTTCCCTTCCAAAGAAAAGCTGGAAACGTGCCGGTGCCCTCAGACCATGGCCGCCTGTGAAGAGGTGCTTGCGGAGGTAAAGGGTGGATGTGGCGTGGCTTTCACAGCAGCTCGTCACCTAGCGGAAGAGCTGAGTGCATTTGGAGTCCAGTTTGGCAGCTTTTGGACTGATTTTCAGTGAGAATTTAACCTTCTACAGCTCGGGTTCCTGGCATGCAGGGCAGCATCAGCACGCCCCAGAGCTGTAAGGGCCAGTGAGGTGAGAAGCATGGCCCAGAGAGCGCCGTGAGCGGCCAGTGGGCACCCCTCCCGTAGAGGCCCTGTCCCGAGGCCTGCATGCGCCAGGGTCTTCACGTCCCCAGTGCGGTCCTCGACCAGCCAGGAAAGGGAGTTTGAGGACGGAACCCCAGACTCAACCACCTCTGGCCCCCACAGGGAAACTGTGTGAGTTACTGTTCTCCATGGCTCCTTGGGAGACTCTCAGAGGAACTGAGCCCCAGATGCCTGCCATGGTTACCCCACTCATGAACACCCCTTTGGCCTTTCTTCCCTTCTGTGCTATCTCACTTTCCTGGTGCAGAGAAAATACCTGTTCCCAAGTCCTGGTTTGCGGGCTGCTTTAGGGAGAAGCTGAGCTACGACAACTGCCTTTCACATCTCTGGTGTCTATGGCACTTCCGGATGAAGAGTGTTTCTGTTTGATAAATGCCAAACAGTACCTGAGATGGCGACATCTGTATTCACAGCCTGCTTGCACTGTCTTCAGTACATGTCTACACAAATGAAATTTTAACGAGCAGTTCCAATCAAGCATTTCTGCAGTATGAAAAGCAGGTGGTGTCATTGCATCTACTTAATTTGTTTCCATGTTGGTTAATTCTCACAGGAAAATACAAAGATCTGTTTAAATTATGGAGAATTTCAGTATATTGCATATCACTACAAATTGCTTATTACAATTCTAGCAAATGAGGAAAGCATGAGGTAGAATATAAACCTATCAGAAAGGGGCACCCAATGAGAACCGTGGTTCTCTCGTGCCCTCACTGCGTATATCTGCGTGTGTCACTGCAGATGACCTGGATCCCACTGTGTTTGCTGTTTTGAGTCCTGTGAGGCCCAGCTAGCCCTACTTCTGTCTCCTCAGAGGCGGTGGCTTCATTTAGTGCCTGCTTGATGTGGTTGGTGCTATGTTGAGATTTTTCTCCCTCTCCCGTCCCTGCTCGCTCTTAACTTCCCCAGGCGCTGCTCTGCTTGCTCCTGTGGGCTCCTCCTTCCTCCTCACCACTGCCCTGTGTCTTCCTTATACCCTCTCTTTGCTTATTGCTCCTTCCAGCCCCCCTTTCTCTCCGTGCCTTCTCTCTGCTTCTGTCTGCTTTCCTCGAGGGGGAGGAGGGCTGCACCCTCACACCTCAGGCTGTGCTGCTGCCATAGAGGCAGAGCTTGTCAGCGACTTACAGATGTCACGTCTTGGTTTTCTCGTCCACTTCCTTTGTTGGGCCCAAATCCTACATGTTGGAGTTACTGAACCGAAGCCCATCGATGTTTGGCGTGTAGGTGTCTCGCCTGCTGCGCGGCTGGCAGAAGACTGTATCCATCACCTCTCCGCACCAACATTATCCTTGCCAGCCTCCGTTCACACTCGTCTTTTGAATCCTTACCAGCCTGACAGGCAAGCGTGCACATCATTACCAGCTACTGATGTTTATTCTTGGTGACACGCCTGCCCAGAGCTCTCGTAGCTTCTGTTGCTATCTCTTTGCCTAGCATAGGGACCATTTGTCTCCTGTTTCCTTTTCCTACCAGGTTCTGGGCCTGTCTTATCTCAACACATGGGAAGGTGAGGGTGGCTGCAGGGGAGGGAACCCGACCGGCGGCCCCACTAAGTCTGTGGCCTTCAGCTCCCAGCACCCCCACTCTTTGCTGGCTTTATCGTGCCAGGCAGCCTGCGTGGGCCACCCTGCTTGTAACAATAGAAGAAAAAGGAAAAGTAAAGAAGGGCAACAAGATGTGACTTGAGTTGACAGGGAAAGTGGAATGGAGAGAAGATGCAAAGAAGCAAGCCAGATAGGAAAATGCAGAACAAGAGGTGTTTGTTCCGGGAGTGCTGGTGTTCATACAGAGGAGCAGCAGCAAGTAGCGGAAAGGCTGCAGGCACCAGAGGGAGGCAAGGCCGCAGGACACGCAGACCTGGTGTCCGTTTGAGCAGGATTTAAGGGAATAGGCATTCGTGTCTGCCAGCTGATGTAGATGGGTAACCTGATATGGCAAAAATAAGCTGATTGAGAATACAAGTCTACAAACAATGAGCAAGGGCAACTGAGGGAGTAAGGGGATGTTGGCTTCACATTTGACAGCCAAAAGGGAGTGTGTCCATGTGGTTTGCAGGCGTGTAGACCGTGCCCGGGTTTGAGGCACAGGCGTCAAGCCTGAAGCATGTGTTTTCAGAAGGAGAAGTGGGAATAGCATGGTCCCTGCGAGTGAAAGAGCTGATCTCAGGGCCTGGCAACTTCTCATGGGCCCACGTAGGCGCTGTGCTGAGAGGAGACAGAGATGAGCAAGCAAGTCTTCAGGTCTGCAAATGCGAAGAATCTAGAGACAGTCAAATCTGGGACTTAGTGGTGCTTCGGTTTTATAACCCTTATTTGTCTTCTCAAAAGCTCTTTTATCACTGAAATTCCTGTCAGAAAATCACACTGTGAAGGCAAAGGCAATATTTTATAGATTCTAACCTCTTTCTCCTCATTAAATGGTGGTTTCTTAAAGTGGCTTTTTTTTTTTCCTTTGGTGAAAGGGATTTTGTCTGCCTGTGTGGAGTGGGGCCTCCTCTCCTTCTGCTGTCGACTCAGACCCCCACCCCCCAAAAGCCATGCCTGAGCTCTCCACGGTGATGGTCAACCACCTTGGCGCTGCCCCTCGCCACAGCAGGCACCAGGCAGAAGGGGCTAAGAGCGTATGGGGGAGATAGCTATGGCTTTGACGCTTCATTGCTTCTACTTAAACCTAACTAGGGAAACTGCATCCTGTGGCTGTAGAAGGCTGCCAGGCGACTGAGAAACACAGCTATGGCAGGGCAGCCATTTTGCAGTGACACCCCTCTTATTGTAAAAGAGGAGAGGTATTGGGGGCCAGCTTTTTCTCATACCCCCTCAGATGGCCGTGTGCATTGAAAGACACATGACCTGACATTTAACAACAATACGACTGTTACGAGGTTTGTGTTTGAATACTATGAAACAACATAATTCTCAGTAAGTCCTTGAGTTCCTTTATTTGAGTTTATGGAATTATATGAAAACCAGAATTGATGTGACCAGGAAAGGTGTCTTATTCTTTTAATCAATATTTACTGAGCGCTTGACACTGGGGAGAATTTCAAGAGGAATATGGATATGACCCCAAATTGCCGATCAGGATTCTAATTGCATGTGAGAAAGGTAACTGAGCCAGGATGCCTTTTATGAGGGTGCTCTGTGTAGTGGTGCAAGTGCACACAGCTACTGAACTAAACTGTGAGGGGTGGATATGATTTTTTTTTTAAGATTTATTTATTTGTGCCTTTAAGAACTGGTGAGTGTATTCACCAGACAGTGTGGCGAGCAGAACAGGTGGATCTACTGAAATACACTGCTGAGGGGGGGCAGCAGGCAAGACAGGAGAGGTCTGCTGTGCCACATGGGTCAGCCCCCCAGCCAGGGATTGAACTTGCGTTGCTGTCACTGCCTATAGCTTACAGGTACTGTGTCTTTAACCTCTGGGCCCCCAGGGAGGTCCTGAAGTTTTGAATCTTGAGGAACTGCATTTTATCAC